ACATTGTGTATGCTAGGATTGTATGTTAGAGTGTTGTGTATGCCATTTCATAACATTGAGTATGCTAGGTTGTATGTTAGTCGCATTGTGTATGCCATCTCATTTGCATTGTGTTTGGGATAGGAGTTAGCCCAAGCACGGGAAACGAGGGACGTTTCGTACTCCGAGTGACAAAACGTGTCTCAATTCCTCACTCGCCGACATTCCGGATTATCCATGATGGAGTCTAGGCCTTGTTGTGTTTTCATGTGCATTCATTTCGTATTGAGTCGTGCAATTCGACTCCTCGGCCATCATGCATCGATACGTGTGATTGGTGGCACGAGGATCGAGGACTACACTCCTTGAAGAGTAGTCATGCATACATATGTGAAAATACTTTGCCATGTCCCTTTCTTGCTTTCTGTTGCAGCAAATCAAAAATCAGCAGCCTTTTGGAGCTTTGCACAACATTCTGGGATTAATTGCAAACAGAGGCAAACCAGGGCATCGCAATGGATTTCCGCGCAAGGCAACTTAAGCATGCATCATTCATCATTCGGAACAGAGCTGAGGCGGTCCATGGATTTGCATGCAATTTATTTCATTCCTTAGTTAATTTGATAATTAATTAGGGTTTTGTACTTATTTAGACTGTATTGTTTATTTGGGACTGTATTATTCTTTCGGACCCTCCAGCGAGGGCACAATTGTAATAAGTGTGTGTGCATGTGATATATGTCTTCAAACCCCACGTCTTTCTCCCTTTTATTTACCAGCTTATGATGGTTAGATTATGGCATGTTTCAATTAGCATATAGTATGATAGCATGTTTGCATTTATTCATTTGTCTTGCATGCACCGGGCTCGGCGCATCATACTAGCTGCATTGTATTTCAATTCCGAGTTGAATACTTGTTAGTTGTAGCATTTCGTATGCCATCTTTAGAATAGCCGAGCCTACTATAGTTGCATTTTTGCATGTGTTGCATTAGGCATTTCTGTATAGTTAGGATCATGCATGGATTTCTAACATAGCTTTTGTTTTGGCTTGGAGTACTCGGTAAGTTTTTGTGCTTTAGTATCCTCGCATGTGTGTGAGTGACTGCCATGATAGCATGCTTGCCATGAGGCTATGTGTTTATGTGATATACTTGCCTGAATGCCTGTGGGTGAAGGTTGGGTTATTTAGATTGAAACAATGCATTGACTGTGAGTTTTAAGCCCACTAGATAGTGGCAAAATCATGTTTTCTAAGCCCACCCGAGGGTGGCAAATCCACGTCTTAGCCTACTTGCGGGTAGCACCATCAAACCACTTTCAAAAATAAACATGAAATGTTTTGTTCCAATTCAGGCGATCTAATCTATGCTTGTATGCTGTGCGCATCACATAGTAAATCTAGGCTAATAACCGGAATAAGAGCACATGATGTTTTCAAAACTCGATATCATGGTTAGTAGAGACCGATCTTTGATCGGGCGAGCGGGGGTGCTCACGAAGTGACCTTCCCCAATCGTACCCAAGTTCCCGAGCCGAGGCAACTTTGGTGATGACGGACACGTGGCCTTAGGCAACGAGTCAGGGTTTCTTAAATTCTCCAAAAATAAATATTTAGGTGGCGACTCTGTATCTGGCAAAGCAGTCCATGTTTGGCACTTCTTTCAAAAAATATGTTTTTCTCAAAACGATTTGCCGGATTTGGACTCTTTGGTTCAGATTAAGAACCGTGACAATTTGAGTCCGAACTGTAGTGAGCCCAATATGAACAGAACGGGGGTCCTCTCCTGGGGCGTTCGGGGACGTCTACAGTTCTAAATCACTCAAATGATAAAACATGATCCAAATTAAGCAATAATCACACCCTAGGTTCAATTCCAAGTCCTAGGTTACACAATTGTGAAGAAATCACACTCCAATTCAAGAGAGGAGTTAAAGGAGATAAGTAAACTTACTTTGAGCTCAAATCTCTCAAGTTCCCTCTAAATTTTCTTCCCAATGCCTTCCTTGAAGGTCTTCCTCCCCAATTCTCCTTCCTTAACTCTCTCAGAAATATTTGAGTTCACAATCCTAAGTCAAATGTCTAAGAAGCCACATATATATACATATATATATATATATATAAGTGAATGAGGACGAAATTTAATCAATTTAATCGTTCCTAATCAAATTTTTACAAAAATGCTTATTATTACCTAGAAATTATGCCGGCTCCAAATATAAAATCAATTTTGGATTATCAAGTCTCTAAGGCCCTCAGTTTCCGATTCAAACATTCTAATTGTGACAGATGCTTTCCTTCTTAAACAGATATGCATCCATAACCATAGGATTCACTTAATTAACCTTAATTCCTTATAAAATTTCACAGTAGGCATTTGAAAGCATAGAAGAAAGGACTGAAAATACATCAGAATCACATACGAGGGTCGAGTTATTACATGAACTCATTTTTATTGTACCAAAGCATTGACTTGGAAATATGTAACCATTAGGGCATGGACTTACTTGATTCTCCTTTTATTTCAATTCATGTACATTTCATTTGTTATATATTCATGATATAGGATTTATGAGTGTATACACACATATGTCATCTTTTGTATGATTGAGGAGTATTAATAGAACATTAAATATATTACTAGTACACATTTTACGGAACATTATGGTATGGGTTGTTGTTATTATTTCGGAGCATTACAATTCTTACATGCATGGAACTTATACTTGTCGATTCTAAGAGTTCTTCAAGAATTTATACTCAACATTGCATGTGTAAACATTTTGGAAGGAAAAAGATTGAAATTCTTACATACATGATTGAATTAGGAAGAATTGAGTTTGATTTTGAGAATTGACAATGGTTTTGAACATAAGGTTTGGAATTAGTTTTGTAATCATGTTTTTGAAGGTGTATTTGGGGTCAAGAACATGTCATGCAAGAGTTTGTAACATTAAGTATGTGTTTTGAAGCTCAAAGTATGTTCTGAAAATTCCAGAATTCGACCGCACTGGTTGAGTGAACAAGTTGTCACTTGAGCGTATATCTCTTGCATCTAGTATTTTTGAAGAAACATTGCACATAGCTCAAGCAACCAAGTTATTGCTCGAGTGAACTTAGCTTACTTTTGAACATTGGCTCGAACAACCATCAAGCCTAGATTTTGAGCATCCAGATGTTTTGTAGACCGCTCGAGCGACCTTAATGCATTTGGCATATTGGCTCGAGCGTATGTCAAGCCTATATTCGAACCAACCAGTACTTTTGTAGACCATGTGGTCCGCTTAAGCGCAATGCTCGAGTGACCAATATTGCACTCAAGCTAAGTGTCATGCTCCAGCATATTTTGAAAAGTCCTATTCTGTCCATATTTGCATTCTCACTCCTTTATAAGCATTCTTATATACAAATTAAGCCTCATGATTGACCTAACATGTAAGAATTGGACATAAGGATATTAATTAAGGAAAATAAGATCCAACTAAGCAATGTATTCCAATGTGGGTATCTGTTTGTGCGTTATTTAGGTTGATCCACAGAGACGTGTCAACAACCAAATCACTGTGAGCAATATCTTAGTAAAGATATTTTTACGTACATTATTTTCTAAGTGTTATCAATGTGGTAAGTTTTTCCAAACCTGTGATTTTGTGCTATGAATGAGCCTTATATCTGTCTGATTCTTAAAAGATTTGCAAGAATGATTGACAAGAATAAAGCATATGATGGATCTCAGGTCGTTCTATATATTTGATAAGGTACACCCAAGGTTGTTCTAAATATCTGATAAGTCTGAATAGCTGTTATGAGTTGACCAAATGGTCATTATACAGCTATAAATGATTGGACCCAAGGTCATTCCGTTAAGTTATGATCAATTATGTTCTGCATATCTATTATACGTTGGACCCGAGGTCGTTTCGCTATTTATTGGACCCAAGGCCGTTCCGTTGTGAATTGTATATGATATGGAAAGGTTTATGTTTATATAATAGAACTTATTCATATAACCTCTTTACTCTGATATTAATCACTGGGTGTTAGCTCACTCCGTTTTACATATGAGCAGCGGAATATCCAGTCCTAGTGAACCGGTCAAGTTTATTCAATCTTTGTGAAGTCTATGAAGGAGTGCCTCACGAGCGAGCCTTTTGTTTTCTTTGATCTTTGGTTTTCTTTTGTTGGTCATGTTTGACCGTGGTTATACTTAAGTTTTTAGATCTGGTCAAGGATGACTTATAAATGGTATTGGACATGTATTATCTATTTGTATATGTATGGATGTGGGGTATTAACATGTAAAATATTTTTGTTTACACCATATATGCATAGTTCATTGGACAAAATTTGTTATTTTGCTTTCGCTTCTGGCCCCATTTAACTATATATATTTTGAATTTTGTCTGAGACCGTATGTAATCTCATGATTGTTTGCCGGTTATGATTCAAACCTCTAGAGGCAGGTTTGGGTCGTGACAATACTAGTCTTTTATGTTGATGTTAGCTTTTAAATAGAACTGCTAACAAGTTTAGCTAATTAAAGTTCTTTAGGTTCTTAAATTTGTGGATGAATTGTTGAAGTGAAAAGAAAATGAATAGGAAAAAAGTTTTTATTTCAATAGTGTTTCTCTTCACAAATTTAAAATTCAAATACAATGTAAATAATGCGATTGAAAAACAAAAAAAAAAACAAAAAAAAAAACTAAACTATTTATAGAATTGTTTCATTTCAATTTCATTATATTGATGATCATCTCTTGTGTGAAAGGGAACTTGATATTGTCGCCCATTTGGATGCATTGTGTAACTTTGCAATGATAATGAGTAAATTTGGATACTGAGAATATTGAAGGAAAGTTTTTTGAGTTTATTTTTATAGCTTTAGCTTTTGAGATGAGTAGTGACTTGCTACGGAGAATACCATTGTTTGTAGCATGGAATCCAACATATCCACACACACAGAGGGGGGATGTAAATGTATATATTTCTGTAATTCAAGTAGGGAGTATTGAAAAACAGTTTTATGCCAATTTTTGGGAGGAAGCTCATATTATATATTTATTTTAATGTACAACAGTAGACTACTCCTACAATGCCTCTTGCATAAGTAAATATATACTATATAGATATGGTTACACATACATATATCATATATGACTGACTGACTACAAATTATAGATTTAGGAAAGAAAGAAAGAATATAAAAAATGACTACAATATTAAGGTACTACTGATAGATGTAGCCTTCTATGAATCAATGCACGAGTTTGCTTCCAAAGCATGTGAGCTTGAGATTCATCATTTGCAAGTGTTGAGCAGTTGCTTTCATTACAGTCTGCAAAGTACTTCCCACTCACCCCTTGTGTTTTTGGGCTTAGAGCAACATAGCAGCTTGTAGATGCACCCTGCCAAATACAAGAAGTCAGATTATATATTTATTTATTTAGGAAAAAGAAGTCACAGAGTAAAGTTTGTATACTATTATTCTCTCCCTTGCATTGGATGAATCTTTTGCTGGACATAAACATAACCCCAAGGTCTTAGCCAAGAATCAAGTTGAGCCATGATAAGTGACTTAGGCCTCGTTTGGGACTGAAATTTTTAATTTCATAACAAATTGCCCCTTTCATTAATAAATCATCAAATCAATTAATAGCTTTTAATAATGTTAGAAACATATTTCAATTAACAATTTAGATAATTTTATTATTGTATAAGAGAATAATTATGAATTTTATATTTTTAGTTAATTTTGTTAAATAAAATTTTTTAACAAAGGGGTGTTGTAATTTTCCAAACCATAAGGGGTAATTTATACTTTAAGCAAATCTCAGGGGGTGTATTTTTAATTTATCCTAAAATAAAATTTCAAATTTGGATTCTTACTTAAATCATATTGCTATAATTGGAATGAGACCAATATTCTTTCCTTAGATTTTGTTTGTGTTAAGTTCACCTAAATTTGCAATTCTAGCACGGGCGGTTGAAAATTAAATGATTAAATTTGTGACAAATTAAAAAATAATAAATAAATTGTGATAAAATTGTGAGACTTAACTTGTAAATTTCAATCTTATTTGTTTTCATAATTTGCATAGAAAAATTTAACTATTAATATTATTTTGTATAAAAATATATTATTAATTTTTTATATGCCGTACATAGCACGGGTTACCATTAGTATAGCATTATTCAAATTCAAATTAATAAAAAATAATAATATGATCAAGCTAGTGGGAAAATGTAAATTATTGTACTTTCATTCTTGTACACCAACCAGCTTGTTTGGTTCCAGTTTTTAAAAAATAATTTTCAAAAATTCTACTTTTTTATTTTTCATATTTTAATGTTTTCAATGAATCTTTTTAATATTTTAAGTACTTTTTTTTTAAATTTTTAGATACATCTAACATAAACACATTTAAAAAATATAATATTTATGAAAAAAATCTTTAAAAAATACATTAAATACCAAAAAATACAAACAAAAAAAAAAGAAAACTTGGTACATTTTTGTGTATTTATTAAATTTTTAAAATATTTTTTCACAAATATTTTACTATTTACATACATTTAAGTAAAGTGTATCTAAAAAGTAAAAAAAATTATTTAAAATTTTAAAAATATTCGCCAAAAATAAAAATAAAAAATACGAAAAACAAAAAATTAAATTTTCAGAAAATTAAATTCAGAAGATTGAAACTAATTATTTTTGTAATTTATATATACTATGGATTTGAAAGAAATTTTAAAAAATAAAAAAGGACAAACCTGTGATGTTGTTTTTAGCAGTTTGGATGCAAGAAAGAAAACAGAATCTGCAAGCAAATTTTAGCTGAAGATCAAACTTCTTTTCTAGTGTTATCTCAAAAATTGTTCAAAAGCAAAAACAAAGAAACAAAAAGTTGGATATGAGAGAGAGAGAGAGAGAAGACATGCCTGTAATGAAGCCTTTGTGGTCCCTGATAATGCCAGTCTTCACAATTCCTGGGTGTACTGCATTGATAGTTACTCTTGCATTTCTTGCCTGTTCATATTCCAACAAACGCTTTAATTATATACCCAAAAAGAATAATAAATAAATAAAGAATTTGATGCTCTGGTTTTTTTTTTAAGTAAGTTTGGCTTCTTGTGAGTGAAGTGAATTTGGAGGAAAACAAGAAAATTAGAAAGTGTATTTTACCTTAAGGTGTCTTGCCATTTCCTTGGCATGTAATATGTTGGCCAATTTGGATTGCGCGTATGCACGAGTGCCATTGTAGCTGTTGCATCAACCACCAAAAAAAATAAAAAACCATATCAATTTTCTTAATTAATGTTTAAGACTGTATTTGGATCTTAAATTTATGGAAGAATTTAAAGAGAAAAATAAATGAGAGAATGAAGTAGAACCCTTTCTTCTTCTTCTTCTTCTTCTTGTTTTTATAATTTTTTTCCTTTTCCTTTTTCTTTTCATAAATTTAAAAGATCCAAGTACAACCTAAAGGATTATCAGCAAAGAGATAAGATTCCAAGTTCTAATCTCTTATGCGAGTCCATGTTGTCTCAAATCTTCACTTTGCCAAATGGTGAATTTTTCTCTAACATTGAGCCTGTGTTTGGCAAGTGGGTTTGCAGGTTTTTTTGGCTATTTTAGCCACAAAAAACAAAATAGGCTATTTTAGCCATAATGAACAAAACATCACATCCAACCCATAATCATTACATTCTTCTCTCACAAAAAAACTCAAAAAAGTCAAAAAGTCAAAAAAACCCTTCTCAAACCAAACTTTTAAACCCAAGCTAAAATAGCCAAAAAAGTCAAAAAGTTAAAAAGCCAACCCACTTCCCAAACGGTGGCTGAATGTGTGGTAGAGAGGGAGTTTGAAACATGGAACAAAGAATCTATACTAGTGTTAATCATTTTGGTAAAGTATATATAGGAGTTGTTTAGTGTAGTTTATTTGAAACTTTTTTATTTTATTTTTTTATTTTAGAAGTATATAGTAGACTATTTGGTATAGTTTTCGTTTACATATTAGGTAAAAATAGTTTAAATTAGTTGAAAAAATTTAATTTCTAACAGCGGAGTGAAATATGCTTTTAAGTTCTACTTTTAAATTATTAATTATTAATTTATAATAAACTACATCAACTACTACAATTGTGAATTTACTATCTAAGAGTAATCATAATTGACATTATCATAGATTACTCAGAAATATTAGTCTTACTCACCAAACTTTGACTTGAGAGAAAAAGAAATGTCTACAAATGAGTGCCTTTTTTATTTTAGTATAGGTAATTAATTGGAATGTGAGAAGAAGAAAGAAGGAAAGTAGGGGTGGGCGCCTACTTGTTAGGGTTGAGCATTTTGGAGAAGCAGAAAGAATCAGATTTGACCCAGTTGTGTATTAGAGAAGAAACATTTATAATTCTTCCTTCAATTCCACTATTTGCTGCTGTCTCTATCATCTTTTCTAATAATAATTCTGTTAACAAGAAATGACCTGCCAATAAACAATAAAATAAAAAAAATAGAGTTAACTCCAAGAAGCAATCCTAAAAAAATAAAAAAATGAGAGTTAAAAAGTCATCCAAAAAAAATAAAAAGCTAAAGAACCATACAAATAAAGCCAATGGTTCTATTTTCTCTAATTTTTGTAATTTTTTTAGTAAAAAGTTTTAAAAATTATCTCAAAATTACTAATTTTTTTAAACTCGTATTTTAGTCAAAAGGGTCAAAAAATTACTAATATAGTTTATTCTCAAACCAATACAATTATTATTGTTGGTTTCTATTTATCTTTCAACAACTTAATCTTATTAATGCGTATATATATATAGGAATTAAATTCTCTCTAGTTAGGCTCCAATTGGAGATGTCTTTTTGGATCTCTATGTGCCCATCTCAAGACATATTTCACTGATTTAAAATGTTCATCTTGTACAACCCGACAAGTATTATATAATCTCAATAGCTTAAAAAAAATAAAAAGACCAAGTTGGGCCAAATTCTTATTATCCAATATTTGCCTATATTGCAAACAGGCTCAAAATCTGAAGCCCAAAATATGAGATAGGTGAATGGCCCAGCAAAGCCCATGGTTCCAATGTCTTGCAAAATGTAGAACACTATTGTTGGGCCTCATTTCGATCTAGTTTTTAAATAGTTTCTCCAAATATGGAAAAAAAAAATAAAAAATAAAAAATATTCAACTAATTGTAAATAATAGTGAATTGCAATTGAGAATTATGCCTTCAATACACAACTCTCATTTAACGAGGCACATCTTTTACTTGCACTTCATTAATTTATAATTAATTTTTATATTTACTAAAATTGAGAAAGTGAAGAGAAAAACATAATTACCCAAGTAATTTGTTGCAAAAGTCATCTCAATTTTGTCTTCAGAGAACTCCAACTCTTGTGAAAATTTCCCAGCATTGTTTCTGCACATTGAATTCATTTCTACCATTATTTTCATAATTCTCTCTCTTACTCTCAAATAAATAAATAAAATATAGAAAAAGAAACTCACATGAGAATGTTAAGGGGTAAACCTAGAGACAAGAACTCAGAACAAAATCTCTTGACAGAAGCAAATGAGCTGAGATCAATTTCCAACAATATAATCTCAGCCTCTGGAGTTTCCTTCTGGATACTTTCCTTCACCTCTGCAGCTTTCTTCAAGTCCCTCGCCGGAATCACGACACGGGCACCTCTCTTTGCTAACACTCTCGCTGTCTCAGTCCCGATGCCCGACGTTGCCCCTTGTAAGTTGTAATGTAAAAACACCACAATTTAACAATAATGTTGTGTAAACATCATCACATAACAAATGAAAAAATATTATATAAAACAACAGTGTATGCAAGTATGAGAAATTAAAAAAAGTATTCATGTGTGTGAATTACATTATTAAATACCCTCATGAAGCATTTTTAATTATCATTAGTACTTATTATTCAAAAAGCAAATGATCTAGAGTATGATTCAATGAGAGAGAACAATTCAAAAGAGACAAAACTGTATCATGCTAGATTCAAAAAGGAGCACTAATAGAATACAATATGTGATTTTTACTGGTTTAAATACACATTAATTATCATCAATGGTAACAACTATTCTCTCCAAAAAGAATTATGTGTTTTTCTGATTGTAACTATTGAATATTCAAAAAAAAAAAAAAAACTTAGAAAATTAAATGACAATTAAAGTGCTGTGTTTTGTTAATCAAAAAGTATGGGGGAGATAGGAACAGAAAGATATTACCGTGTGGGGAAAAAATAAAAAAGGTAGATAGAAAAGAAGAATTTGTACAATATATCAAGAAAATGTGAAGCAACACTAGTCTACAATACACCGTTAATTTTACTTCAAGAAAATTCCTTTTTCAAAAGATTTTCTATCAAAATAGAAAGATTTCTATCAGAATGAAATAGATGGAAAATGAGAAACAATGATTTATATGGATGATAAAATCAAAACCGGGAGAGAATTCTAAGAAAAGTCATCAAATCTTCGCATAAATCTTCACAAAGGAATATTAATTACATATATATATATATTATTCTTTCTCTGAAACCCTACTTCAATTTTGTGAACTCACAAAACTACAAAAAGAAGAAGAAGAAGAAGAAGAAGAAGAAGAAGAAATAAACAAATAAAAATATAGGAAGAAAAAAAAAAGAACATAAAAATTCTGCAACAATATCAAACTTGATGCATTTCTAAATATATAATGAAGTCTCTCTCATGGACAGATCAGAATGTGTATGTTTAAATGAAGACCAGATTCAGAAGGGGGGGAAATGGGCACTGTTCTTCATCATAAAGAAGTTTGTGTATGTGTTGTGTGTTTGTGTGTGGTTGGAGATGAGATGACTAACCAGTGACTAATGCAGTGAGTTGAGCTTGAGAAGAAGGGAGTAAGAAAGAACAATCTTGTTGAGTAACTTGCTCAGCTGTTGAGTTTGATCCATATCCACTTGGGCCTGCAGCACCTGCCAAGTACCTCAGTGTTTTCTTCATCAGGACACAAAACTTACAACCTCTCTCACCCGACAAACAACAACGGCAACTATAGTAGGGAAGAACACTCTCTACATAGATACACAAGATATATATATATAAGGAACATTGAACTTTCTAGCAGTCCATGCACCACCTAAATAATAGATGGTATGACCAATCAGATCCCTGATTGATGCCAGAGTGTCAGGCTTTTTTGGTTTCCAGTTTGGATCATCTGTTTCCAAAATAGTTTTTTTATTTTATTAATTACATTTAGGTTTTTTCTTTTTCTTTTTCTTAAAAAAAAATTAAAATCAATTAATAACCAAATCGTATGAATGTAAATGTATGAGACAGTTTGAGTGAGGAGAAGATAATAAATGCCAGCTTTATCAAATGGCTTCTTTGAGTTTGGATCATTTCATCATTTACAATATCATGATTTAATTTTTTTTTAATTAGAAATTAATTAATAATAAAATTGTATGAATGTGAATGTATAACATACAAAACAAAGACCTTCTGGGGAGAAGATATAGTTTTTTCGGGTGTAGATCATATATTCCAAAAATGGTACTTTATTTTATCGCTTACATTTATATGATTTAATTTTTTTTAATTAATAATCAAATCATGTAAATGTGAATCACTACAAGAAAAAATACTTTTGACGACTAAATTTTTAGTCGCCAAAAGTCTTCTTTTAGGTTGGTTTAGTGTATTTCTACTGGGCTGTGGCTCACCCTATATGGGAATATCATTTTCAGGTACAGGTAGCATGCCACCTCCAAGGACGTAGCTTGGGAGGCCAGAGGCGGACTTTTTGTTGTTTTACTTGATGTATTACATGTTAATTCAAGCCAAGGGCTTAACGTGTTTGAGTTAGTACTTTTTTTTGTTGAAACCAAGTGTTAACTTGGAAAGCTGTAAGCCCATAGGGCATTTGCTTTTGTTGTTAACAAGTAATACTTTTTTTTGTAATGAAACTCTGTTAAATGAAAGAATGTGGAGCTTTTGAATATCAATGCATGTCTTATTTAATGGGTTTAAGGCTATTATTTTGAGGGCGTTACAACAATTGTCACTCTTTTTGGCGACCACAGTATTTTGTCGCCAAAAGCATTTTTCAAAAAAACAAAAAAATACCCACTGTGCCTCAGCATCTCCCAGGCTTCGAACTTGCGACCTCCAGCTCCAAACCTTAACAACACACACCACCCCACTATGCCACTCTCAACCATCACATGAATATAATTGCAACTTATATTATTTATATATTACTTTCACCAGTATTAATACAACAGAATATATATAAATATAATTATATATATTCAAATATAATTTATGTAAAAAATAAATTATTTATTAAAAGAAATTTATCTCACTTTTGGCGACTAAATCCATTATTTAGTCGCCAATTCTACAATTTTAGGCTACTAATTAATTTTGCAGTCGCTAAAAAAAAATGTTGCGCCTAAAAACACACCTTTTGGCGACTAAACCTGTTTTTAGTCGCCAAAAACGACCCCTTTTGGCTACTAAACTGAATTTTAGTCGCCAATACTCAGTTTTTAGCTACTAATTTTTTTTTGTAGCCAAAAAACTTGACTTTCAGCGACTAATCTCGTTTTAGTCGCCAAAACACCTACCATCGGCGACCAATCTGCTTTTTAGTCGCCAAAACTAGCACCTTTGGCTACTAAATTGTTTTAGTCGGCAAAAACCATCACTTTTGGCGACGAAAATTGTGTTAGTCGCTGAAACCCATATAATAGGCGACCAAACTGATTTTTAGTCGCCAATACATATACATTTGGCTACTAAATTGTTTTAGTCGCCAAAAGGCTTCATTTTCGGCGACTAAAATGGATTTAGTCGCCATTTGTGCAACTTTCAGCGACGAAATTCATTTTTTTAGTCGCCATTGGTGCTTTTTGTTGTAGTGAATGCATTAAAAAAAGAACAAAGACCGTGTGGGGAAAGATATTGCCAGTTTTATATGTTTGGATCATCTCGCTCCAAATTGGTGTTTTATTTTATGGGATATTTATTAGAAAATCTCATTTAGTCGCCATTAGTAGAGTTGGGCTGCACGAGCGGCCAGAAATTAGTAAGGGGGGAGGGGGGAGGCATCACCGCACATGCAGCCATGGTGGGCTCACGCGTAGCCACTGCTCGAGTGGAAGTAAGTTCTACTTGAGCGGCTATCCTTAAGTAGTCTACTACATGAGCTCCATATGAGTGCTATTCACTGCACGGCTAGGTACAACGCAACCTCGATTTTTGTGCACTTTTTGTATAAACCTGATCACACTCTCTCTCCCCTATTTCTCTCATTTCTCTCAAACCTCTCTCTCTCTCTCTACTCTCTTTTCTCTACAACTCACCACCAAAACTTCACAAATCTTCTCATCCAAATAAATTCATCAACATTTTGATACTAGTTCTTAAGGCCAAAATGACAAGTGTGTTGTGAGCTACGTTTTGATCGATGGAGATCGATTTCGACATCATCAAATTTTGAGTTTTTGCTTCTCTTCTCTTCTCTTCTAGCTTTTGAGGTAGGGGTTTCTCTAATCATTTTTAATGTAATGTTATAAATGGGTATATGGTTTATTTTGTTGTATGAAAATTTTGAAAAATTTATGAAGATTTGTGAAATCCATATAGTATTGACTTAGGGTGTGAGGTATATCATGTTAATGTATGAAAAATGGTGAAAAGCCCTAAAATTTGTGAAACCCTAATTTAATATAGATCGTGTAAATTGGAGAAATTAGTAAACAATGCTAGTTGATAAATAACAAGAAATACTTTTCTATGTGTGTTAATTTATGACCTAACGTAGAAATTTTGGAAATATTGATTTATGAAAGATTTTGAAGCATGTGAAAACTTGAGAGTGAAAAAACATAATTTTCTAGGATTGTATGAATTGGGAAATTTAAGATTTGTAATCATTTGAGAAATTGAAATTTAATTTTACTAATAGAAAGGGGTAATGATGAGTATTGAGAGTATGTAAATTGAGCAAATTGATGAGATTAGTATTTGACATTATTGATAGGAATGAAATTGAAACATAAGGATTCAAAGTGTGAAATACAGTTATGTTGAAGTAATGAGAATTGTAAATGATTTTGTGAATATTGTAAAGACATGTTGTTGATAGAATTATGTAACGAATATTATTTATATCGGAATGTATTGTTTAGTGATATTAGTTTTGGCAATTGATGGATGATTGCATTGTTTGTTATAAAATTGATATGAAAATTAGTCGAATTGAAACCGTACATGTTATGTAATTTTGTCGATTAGTATGTAAGTGGGAATGTTATGGTTTATATTGAGATATGTGATAAAATTGTTGTAAAGAGGTTCCAATTTTCTTCCAGTTAGCACCTAGTAAAGTGGATTGCATTTCGAATGATAGGTTCCAATTTTCTTCCAGCTAGCACCTGGTAGAGTAGATTGCGCTTTGAATTGAAGCTCCCAATTTCCTTCCAGTTAGCGCCTGGTATAGTGGACTGTAAAGAGAAAGCTAGAAAATATCTATTTTATTGATTTACTGAATAAATCTATATGATACAGAGGAGGTAGTATATATACAAGACTGATACACTTAATCTAACCATAACCGTCTAACTAAACTATAGTTAAACTCTAACAAACTAACTACCTAGCCTTGATAATATACATATGATTGTTGGAGCTATTGCTTTGAAGCTGCTGAGTTGTTATGGCTGCTGCTCTGCTGGAGCTCTGAGCTACTATTGCTGCTGCTCTACTGTGGCTGCTATGGCTGCTGTGCTGAGCTGCGCTAAGCTGTTGTGGCTGTGTTCTACTGGAGCTGTTGCAGGTAAGCTGCTGTGGTTATGTTATGTTGGAGCTGCTTGCTCTGGAGCTGTTCTCTTATCATTCCCCCTCAAACTCATAGGACTGGGAAGAACTAAGAGTTTGCTTTGAAGGTACTGAAACCTAGCCACAGACAAAGGTTTGGTGAAAATGTCTGTGATTTGATCAGTGGTAGGAATGTAACAAATGTGAAGCTTCTTGGCTGCAATTCTTTCTCGAACAAAATGATAATCGACTTCAATATGTATTGTTCGAGCATGAAATACAGGATTGTGAGACATAGCAATAGCAGATAAGTTGTCACACCAAAGAGTAGGAACAGGCACTGGACAGTGACGCTCTGCCAACAACATACCAAGCCAACTAAGTTCAATTGAGGCATGGGCTAAAGCTCTATACTCAGCCTCTGAGGAAGACCTAGACACAGTTGGTTGCTTCTTGGCAGACCAAGAAATTAAGTTGAGACCAAGGTAAGCACAATATCCAGTAGTAGACCTTCTATCAAGCACATTTTTAGCCCAATCTGAGTCAGAGTAAGCATTAAGAATAAGAGAACCACTAGAGAAATGAAGACCACGGCCCAATATGCCTTTAATATATCTGAGCAACCTCTTGACAGAGGCAAAATGACTATTCAAGAGTGCTTGCATGAATTGGCAGACATGGTTAACCACAGAGGCAAGATTTGGCCTAGTAATAGTGAGGTATTGAAGAGCACCTACTAAACTTCTATAAATAGATGGTTGACTAAGGGGTAAGTCAGCATCAAAAGAAAGGGTAGAAACTTTAATAGCCATGGGAGAGGAGTAAGACTTGCAATCATTCATGCCTGCTTTGGCTAGGATTTTTGAAGCATACTTCTGTTGAGAAAGAACATATCCAACAAAGGTCTTAGTGACAGAAATACCAAGAAAGTAGTTAACGAATCCTAGTTCTTTCATAGAAAAAGTGGCATGTATTTGTTGAATCAAATAAGCAATATAAAGAGGGTCACTGCCAGTGAGCAGGATATCATATATGAGTAGAATGGTAATAGAAGTAGGAGTCTTGAGAACAAACAAAGATGAGTCACATTGACTAGGAACAAAATTCTGAGAGAGGAGAAAAGTTGAGAAAGTAGAGAACCAAGCTTCAGGGGCTATTTCTAAGCCATAAAGAGCTTTGTTCAATTTGTAAACAAGATGAGATTGAGAAGCATGAGCAAACCCCTGAGGTTGGACCATGTACACCTCTTCATCAAGAACCCCATGTAAAAAAGCATTAGAAATGTCAAGTTATTTGATTGACCAATCAAAATAAAGAGCAAGGCACAAAAGAATTCTAATTGTTGGTTGTTTAGCCACAGGACTAAAAGTCTCATGATAGTCCACTCCCTCAGTTTGAAGAAAGCCATTGGCAACTAGTCTTGCTTTATGTCTAGCTATGGTTCCATCTGAATTCTTTTTCAACCTATAAACTCATTTGCAGCCAATTGCCTGTTTGCCAGGTGGTAAAGAGACTAAGGTCCAAGTACCTTACTTTTGAAGAGCTGCATATTCATCAAGCATAGCAGCTTGCCAAGCAGAAGAAGATGCAGCCTCAGAATAGGTTTGACGTTCAAATGGAACAGTGGAAGCAAGGAGAGAAACATAAGTAGAAGATGACGGAAGCTTTCTGGATTTAGATCTAGTAAGCATGGGATGAGCAGTAAACGGAACAAAGGGAAGATTGATAGAAATTGAAGAGACAGGAATTTGAGTAGAATGATCAGTAGACAGAAGAGGAACATCAACTAAAGATGGAACTGGCTGTTGCTGTGAGAGAGAAGACTGAGGAACATGAGTTGAAGATGGAATTGGTTTCTATAAAGATGAAACTGGCTGTTATAACTGAGGTGGCTGTTGTAAAATAGAAGATGAAGAAGAAGAGTAAGACTGAGGTACAGAAGCAGGGGAAGCTAACCAGAAAAAATTAACCAATTGAGAAATCGTAGATGAAGAAGAAGAAGAAAGAAGAAGAAGAAGAAGAAGCAGCCTTAAAAGGAAAACAAGACTCATCAAAGATTACATGTCTAGAAATGTAAACTTTGCATGATTGAGAATCAAGACACCTATACCCTTTAATAGAAGGTTGATAACCAATGAAAACACAAGGTATGGATCTAGGTTGAAGTTTATCAGTAGTATAAGGCTTGAGCCAAGGATAACACTTGCAACCAAAAAATCTTAAGAGTTGGTTGTCAGGTTTTTGGTTAAGCAGAACCTCATAAGTGGTAAGATTATTGAGTTTGAGAGTAGGATGTCAGTTAATCAAAAACACTGCAGTGGCAAGAGCATCAAACCAGTAGATTAAAGGAAAAGAAGAGTGATGCATGAGAGTAATTGTGGTTTAAATGAGATGCCTATGTTTTCGCTCAACTAGACCATTTTGAAAAGGTGTATGGGGATAGGTCAACTAGTGTTCAATCCCTTTTTGTTTAAGAAAAACATGAAATTGAGTGCTTAGATATTCACCCCCATTGTCACTCTTTAAAACTTGAAGTTTAGTAGAGAATTGTATCTCAACAAAAGCTTTGAACTTTAGAAATTTGGAAAAAAAAAAATTCACTCTTATAATGAAGAGGAAAGAGCCAAGTAAACTTGCTGAAATCATCAATGAACAACACATAGTATTTAAAGCCTGATATGGAGGAAGAAAATGAGCCCCAAACATCAGTGTGAATGAGTGCTAAAGGCTTATTTACATAGAATTGGGCAAACAAAAAGGTAACCTATGACTCTTAGATACACAACAATGTTCTCACAAACTAGAGCCTTTATTAGACAGAACTGAAGAAGAAAATCTCAACTGATGATGAGACATGATGTGATGAAACTTCTTGGTGGAAGGATGGTCAAGACGAAAATGCCAATTAGGAGGAACTGCTACTGTAGCTGGAGTAGTGAAGCAAGAAAGGCAAGCTTGTGAAGGGAAGGCAGTAGAATTAGAAGATGGACTGAATGGATATAGTCCATTGGAATAGCAACCTCTATATAGTACTCTCTAAGTACTCTTGTCCTGAATAACAAAAGAATCCTCATCAAAAGTAATAGTACAATGATTGTCCATGGCCAATTGATGAAGTGAAAGTAAATTTTAGGAAAGAGTAAGAACATAAAGAAGTTTATTAAGTTGGAAAGGAAATGAAGGAATTAGAAGAAGTCCTTTACCAGTACGGGCAATAGGAAGTATGGTTCTATCACCTACTGCTACCTAATCTGAGCCATGAAAATGTTGATATAAAGAGAGGTTATTCAGATCATGTGTCATGTGAGTTGTAGCACCAGAATCAAGGAACCAGCTGTATTCGGACTGTGGAACTGTGTTGGCTACAACATATACTTTTTGATGACTAGCAGAGGATGAAGGACTAGAATAATGATTATGAGATTGAGCCTAGAAAGTTGCATCTAGTCTATACCAGCATTTTACAGCAGTGTGATTTCCTTTTCCACAAATTTGACAGATCACAGTAGGACTATTTGGAGTATAGCTATGTGTACTGTAGCTTGAATTAGGACTGTTTGTATTGTAGCTGTGTGAATTGTAGCCTGTTGTAGCTCTGCCTCTCTGAGATTGAGTGTTGCCTCCTTTTTTATTCTGAAACTGACTATGACTATGCTGACCTCGAAATCTAACTCCATCTCTCCCTTTGAAAACACCTCTACCCCTATAGAAACCTCTAGGACCTCCTATATGAGAATAGTTACTTCTTTGAGCAGTGTAGGCAAAAGAACCTGGAATTTCTGAAGCATGTGTGTGCTTGAGAGCAAATTCCACATGAATACATTCTGAACAAAGTAAAGCACTTAGTTGATCCAGTGAGATAGGTTCAGACCTAACTCGTATGGTGGTTTTTAAAGCATTGCATTGTTCAGGTAGGCCATTCAAGATCAAGAGGACTAAGTCTTCATCATCAACATGTGATGAAGCCAAGGCAAGTTGATCTGATATCAGTTTGAATTGATTCAAATACTCTTCTATGGTGGAACCTTTCTTAACAATTTGATTTAGTTTATTCTTCAATTGATAGATGTGAGATCTTGAAAAAGAAGTAAATCTCTTGGCAAGAACAATCCAGACTTCTTGACTAGTTTGACAATGAATCACAGTGGTGAAAATAGATGAACAAAGAGTTGTAGTGATGCAGCTCAATAAGTGTGCATCAATGGTGCTTCATACATTGTAATTTGAATTCAAGACTTCAAGATTGTTTGAATCTAACACAACCGACAGAGGACATACCTCAGATCCATGCACATAACCAAGAAGCTTTGTTGCTCACAAGATGTTCTGCAATTGACTTTTCCAAACTATGTAATTTGATGAGTCAAGCTTTGTAGTGACAAAGGAACTAACATTGGAGATTAATAATGTGAGATTTGAAGGCAGTATGATAGACGAAGACATAAAAGCTGACGAAAATGGTGCTGAAAGAGAAAAGAAGGATGGTGCTGCAGCTATGGTGTTTGGAGAAGCCAATGATGAACTTCTCTAAAAGGCCAAAGCTCGCAAGAGCATAAAGCTCTAATACCATAAAGAGAAAACAAGAAAATATCTGTTTTATTGATTTACTGAATCAATCTATATGATACAGAGGAGGTAGTATATATACAAGACTGATACACTTAACCTAACCATAACCATCTAACTAAACTATAGTTAAACTCTAACAAACTAACTATCTAGCCCTGATAATACACACGTGATTGCTGGAGCTATTGCTTTAAAGCTGTTGAGCTGCTATGGTTGCTGCTCTGCTGTGGCTACTGTGTTGAGCTGCCAAGCCACTGTGGCTGTGTTTTGCTAGAGCTGCCTGCTCTAGAGCTGCTGTCTTATCAGATTGCACATCTAATGATAGGTTCCAAGTTCCTTCTATGTAACACCTAGTAAAGTGATAGTAGTGGCTTGACGAAGTCGGATTATGTTATGTGATAATACTTTTTTGTTTAAATACGTATGTGTTGTAATAAGTGTCCAATTGTCTCTCTGTGCTTTTGACTAGAAAATACAAGTGATGTCATGAAATATTATGAATTGTGATAACTTCTTGTGACTTCAGCGGGTTTTATGACATTATATTGGAATTTACTTAAGGCCTCATAGCATGATGGGGGTTTAATTGTACTAAGGTTGTTGAGGTTGCTTTAGCTTATCAATCTTAGTAAATTACGTGAGTGTTAAATTTTGATTGTTTTCAAACGTTCAAGATTGGTGAAACCTTTTTTAACTTATTATAGATGGAATAGGAAGATAATAAATGATCTTCTTTGTAATGTTAAAGAGTGACTTTGAGGAAAAGTATATATATATATATTGGATATAAAAGAGAAAAAAAAAATTATATATGTATGTATTATGTAAAGCATTCATAATCATACAGATGTATAGTGATATTAATAAGGATTATTGGGATCCCTACAAGATTTTATGTTCATTCCACGTTGTTGAATCATTTTTCAAGTACAAATTTAGAAGATCATGCTTGAGCTAGAGAAGCTCTCTTTTCTCTTTTCGACCATAGGGCCCTTTGATTGTAGAATGAATGGTGTACTTTTGTAATAAGGGTAATATCCCTCTCATTTATGTTTATGTAAGCCTAAAGACATTTGTAAATGTATTGTAAATAATGGACTATCATTTGAGAGAGGACTATTGTCATTTATTCCAGTAATAATGTAGCTTCTGCATGTTGATTTAATAAAAAGGGATAATAATAGTGAATTGATATTGTGAATCGGATTCTAAAATAAAGGACATGAAAGTATATGATACAAAATGACTCCATGATCACTAGTTACATAAATAGATATAATAAGTATACAACAAATATTGAAACATATTAGGGAATTCAAAAATTATAAATGGAATAGAATGTAAAATTTAATTTGCAACTTTATTGTGGGAAGAAATCTTGTTAATATCTAATTCAACTATTTTTTACAATATGATTTATCTTATTATATATGTATATATAATAATCAAAATCTATATTTTTTAAGTAAAAAAATCATCATATTTAGAGAATAATGTGAATCTCTTTAGTGTAAATGTGAATATTTATACTTTGAAAAAGAAAAAATAAAATGTCGAATTTTTGTATAAATGTGATAGAGGGTGTGAATATTTACTTTTAAAAAACTACTCATACTTTTCAAAACTTCACATTATTCTCATTGAAAGTGTGAATGACACTTCAAAAAAA